TGTGCGCGCCGCGCCGCCGTCCCACTCCACGCGGGATGGCACCTTGCCCTGAGCGTCTCCAACACCCTTCGCATGTGAGATGCGATCACAGCCAAGGTGACCAACCCGCACGGAATCCTAAAGAAAACCCTGCTAAACGCCCTTTCTTTGCATTTTGTCCTCTATGAGGAAACTCGCACAGTTTTCCACCTTTTGAGTATATTTTAAGGAAGAAATGCATATGTACCGCATGATGGAAAAGTATTCACCAGCTAAAAAGACTCGGGTAGTTGAAAGAATTGTCAGAAAGTTCCCTAAAGCTTATTCTCTTAGCCCACGCCGCCCTCTGACTGTTAGCCATGCTTAGTTATGGAGTTTCCTTCTCCACAGCAAGGCCTCCCAACGCCCTGCATTCACTTCATTGTATTTTCACTTTTCGTTGGTTTTAATTACTTTATAACATGATTCCTTGTCTGTGCTCTGAACGAATGGCATACTTCGTATCTCTATATTTCTGAATTATAGCAAAATCATCTCTAATCCTATTCGATGTTGCTGAATGCAAATATTTTCATGAAATTACTCCTTCGTCCCAGCACTACCTTAATCTATCTCAAATTATGCTTTACCTACAAACCCTAACTGTTAATGATCAAGTGTAATATCCTTTCCTTTGTTCTTAAAATAAAATATAAAATTAGCATGCCCTCCAAAGTGTTTCCAGCTTCAGCTTTTCTATTCTCTACCAGGTGAGTCTTCTTCAGCTGTAGAAGCAGCTCCAGAACACGATGTCCTGAATGAAAGTTCTGACTTTTTGCCAATCCCCATGCCCTTCATTTAACCCTATTCATCCCGCAGGACTCAAATCTCAATCTCCTGTAAGCACTTTACAGACCTTTATACACCCCAAGTTAGGCCCTCTATCTGTCACGTAATCTAATCCTGGGTCTCAGTACTTGTGAAACGAATAAAAGAATGAATGAATTAAAGAAAGTAGGTGTGAAAACCGTCCTCCTCTTATATGCGGGATGTTATGTAATTTGGCACAACAAAGTTTGGTTTCATCCCAACAGATCTGAACCACAAGTGTCAAAAGTCAATGTGACCTCACATTAATAAGGCTAGTTCATTGCACCTGTAATAAAATAAGTTGTTATTAATGCCACTGTCTCTTTTCTGACTTCAGATAAACAGGCCTTAGGTAGTATAACAGAACTTTATGAATAGAGCTTTTGTGTAACCCATACGCCAAGTTTATAAATAGCTATTTCAGCTCCTCAGTAGTCAAGGACTTGAAAGGGCTTAAGATGATACTTTCTTTTCATTAAGACTTTCATTTTAGAGCAGTTTAACACACAGCAAATTGAGCAAAAGGTTCAGAGATTTCCATTATCAATATCTCCCACCAGAGTGATACCTTTGTTATAGCGGAAGAACCTACATTGGCATATCCTAATCACCTTAAGTACATAGGGTTCACTCATTGTGTACAAACATATACTAGTAATGACAGGTGTTCCATCACAATGGCATGATAGAGAATATTTTCACTGCCCCCAAAATTGTCTGAGCTCTACCTATTCATCTCCCTTCCCCACATCACCAAACCCCTGGTATTTGTACTATCTCCATAGTTTTGTCTTTTTAGATGTCATACAGTTGGAATCATACATGTAGTCTTTACAGATTGGCTGATCTCAATAATATACATTTAAAGTTCCTCCATGTCTTTTCATGACTTCACCGCTCATTTCTTTTTAGCACTGCATAATATTCCATTGTCTGGATGTACCACAGTTTACTTATCCTTCACCTACTGAAGGACATCTTGGTTGCCTCCAAGTTTTGGCAATTATGAATAAAGCTGCTATAATCATCCATGTGCAGGCTTTAGTGTGGACATCTTTTTAGATCCTGTGGGCGATCTAAAGGAGCAAGGTTACTGTATCATATGGTAAGAATAATGTTTAGTTTGGTAAAAAAAACTGGAAAACAGTCTTCCAAAGTGGCTGCACCATTTTGCATTCCCATCAGCAATGAATGAGAGTTCCTATTCCTTCACAGCCTCACCAGCATTTGTTGTTGTTAATGTTCCAAATTTTGGCCCTTGTAATAGGTATGCAGTGGCATCTCATTGCTGTTATAATTTGCATTTCCCTGATGACATACGATGTGGAACATTTTTCACATGCTAATATGAAAGACATAATATTACCATATGTATACTTTGTCAACGTGTCTGTTAAGGTCTTTGGCCTGTTTTTAAATCAGATTGTTTATTATTGAGTTTTAAGAGTTCTTTGTATATTTTGGCTTGCTGTCCTTTGTCAGATGTTTTCCCAAATATTTTCTCAGTCTGTGACTTGTCTTCTCATTCTCTTGACATTGTCTTTCACAGAGCAGAAGTTTTTAATTTTAATAAAGTCTAGCTTATCAATTATTTCTTTCATGATTTTGGTGTTATATCAAAAAAGTCATTAATTTACCCAATTTCATCTAGTTTTTTTTTTTAGATATATTTAACTGAAAATTATATGCAGAATTTATCTCAAAAAGTCTCTAGAGCATTTTATGTAGGAACATTCTTTGGACCATCCACAACTAATTTGTTTTATAGTTGTGCATTTTACATTTAGGTCTGTCACCCATTTTGAGTTAATTTTTGTGAAGTGTATACAGTTTGTGCTTACATTTATTTATTTATTTTGCATGTGGCTATCCGGTTGTTCTAGCACCACCTATTGAAAAAAATCCCATTGTAGCTATATAAAATTTTAAACTACTAAGTGCTAGAGGGGAAAAAGAAAAGGAAACTGGAAATCATCAACCAGTGGGAATGATCATGACCATTAAAGAAAAGTCACAAGAAGATGTATTTGCTTTTGATAAAAGGTAGGGGGAATAATTGCACTACTGGAGACTTCCATACTGAACTATTTTTTTCCTGTTTTGTTTGCTGAAACATCTTCAGAATGAAATTGTTAAGTATACCAGGGCAACTTTGATTTTCTTGCAGCAAAGTGAATTTTTTCATAAATTTGAGAAGCAGATTAGCACAGTGTTCAGAAAATGAGTTCCAGAACTAGAATGTTAGGTTCAAACCCGATTCTGATCATGTGATCTTAGGTGAGTTACTTAGGCTTTCTGTGCTTCAGCGATCTCATCTGTTAAGAGGCTATGGGGAATTAAATAAGGAGGACTGCTTGAAAAGAGTGCTTTAGTGTAACCACCCAAGTTGCCTTCTCTATCAAATGAAGCCTATCTTGCCTCTCCTTGCTCGTTACTCCTATTTCAAATGCAGGCCCTATACAACAGTTTCCGTGCTGCACTTGATTGCTTTGCTGGTGTGCCCCTGGCCAAGGCACCTTTCGCGCGGGAACGCTGTCAGTTTAATGTTGCCGGCACTGGGGACACAAATGAATTCTGTTTCTGCAGGACTGGGAGGTCTTTTTTGTAGCTTTATAGCTGCCCCTCTACTATGAATGCAACGACGGATTAGAACTGTCTGCTTCCTCTCTGTAATGAGAAATAAGGCAAGGCAGCAGCGCCCTGAACGCACATCATTCTTTTTTAAGTGTATGTTTTTATTGATTTCAGAGAGGAAGGAAGAGGGAGAGAGAAACACCAATGATTAGAAGCCTTGATCTGCAGCCTCCTACAACCTGCAACCCAGGCACGTGCCCTGACCTCCGGGTTCACAGGTCGGTGCTCACCCACTGAGCCCGCATCCTTCTTCACAGTCACGGGCCACAAGTCCAATAGCAGCAACACACAAACAGAACAGCCTAATCCATTTCCATTTACACTGAAGCCCGTAAGAAATAAGGTGACATTTTGGCTCCTATGTGAACTGTCTCCGACAACGCGGTACCCACCCCCGTCCACTCTCAGCTCCTTGGGGCGCCCAAGACATCGGCGCGCAGACGCTCCTCTCCAACAGCTGCAGCTGCACCCGCGAGGCTGCAGGCACCAGACCCAGGGC